GGAAGCTGCAGGTACTCGGTTCCCACCACGTACAAGTACGTAACACGGACTGGCTACTTACCCTCAAATATCCAGTAAATTGCCCTTATGTAAGAAAATTTAAGTGTTCTCAGTAATCCTCATGTAGGATAACCTCACTCTCCTCCAGTTTTTTAAAAGAGCCACTGTGACAGGTATGGGTACAAGAATTAGAGTATGTCTAGGACATTCTTGGGAAAGCACTTGCTTGATACCCCAGGTCCTGAAAACAGTGTCGCTGAATGAATGGGTAACAGGAATGCATAAATTGCCTCGTTTTTTGGACACAATCTAAATCCAAGATCCGTATAACATTGCAAATTAACTAAAACGGGTCTAAATCCGTTTTTTAAAATTATTTTTTTATTCGATTCAGTAACCTGTTTCATTCCTTTCAACTTCGAGGGCTGTTACATTAATGTAATTTGCGTGCGTATAATAACTGCTGTATGGTTATTTTGTCTGAGTTACAATAATTTGTCTTATTACCCAATTTTATTTCAGTTGGTCTTCTAGTTCTGGGGCTGCAGACGAAGCATAAAAATTATTTTAATTTTAAACACTAGTGTAAAATACTCAACGCATTTTATAAATTGAGCCCATCCGAGTATTTTTTTTCTTTAAATTAACTTGGAATTGTGCTTAGCCAGGGAGAAGAAAAATTACTTGTAGCGGAAGAACTGTGGTTAAAGTTAAAAATATATCGATATTAGTTAATATAAATAATATAGAAAGTCTAGAAAATACTATTCAAGCAGAAAACAAAAAAAAAATATATAAGATATGTGTGTTAGCAAGACAGCACTTCCGCGCGGGACACACTGCCTGCCAACACACATGAACTTTTCTGTTGTCAGTGGTAATACCAAAAACTGACTGTGCCCCCGAGGCCCGATAATGAAATAAGAAAAAACAATTACATAAACAGATATAATAAGTTAGTTTTTATAAAAAAATATAAAAACTAACCATTACGGGAACAGGACCAAAAGCTCCATAATACATCAATAAAATCCATATCATGAATTAAATCTATATATATATTTCTCTTACACGGCGACAAAAAAAGCCTCATTACAACTCCCCGAATGGCAACGGCCATGATTGCTGCCAAAAATGTCACATGCCAAATCTAGCTGAGGTGGCTCAACATATAGAGCTTTTAAAAACGGAAACTGAAATAACCAGAGAGAGCATTCTCACCAAATGTTTAGTTTCTGCAAGTTTTTCTTTTGTATGTCAAAGTTCTGAGACTTATACTTATGTTTTTAACAAAGTTGTGAATCGTTCACGGTTATTATTTTTTAAAAATATGTTTTGTTTATGCAGGTTTTTCCATTGCAATTCACTTATTTCAATTTTAGTAGACTTAATTATAGCCAAAATTTTAACCTTTTTAAAGAGTTAGAAGTTTACAGTTTTAGAAATTTTATCTTAAGATTTTATACTATAGCACATTTCTAATAGGTTTAACGAATTACATGTCATTTTTCTGAATTCAAATTTATTTTAATGACTTAGTATTTACTAAAAAGATGCAATTTTTTTTTTAAAAAAGTTGTTATATGGATTTGAATGATTGTTTTGAATTCTTAGAATTTTGTGCATTTGCAATGTATGCATTTGCAATGTTAGTAACGAGCGAAGCGAGCTTGGTTTGCGAAGCAAACCATATAAGATTGCGTTGCAATTTTCGGGGGTTGGCGAGCAGGGTGCGCAGCCCACTAGTTGCATAATAATTTCCATGGATATTTTATGGAGTTTCTGGTCCTACCGTAATGGTTATTTTTTATACTTCTTAATATTTTATTTTGTAACTGCTTTTTCTTACTTGTTTATCCATTATGGGGCCTCGGGGCACTGTTAGTTTTTGGTATTACCGCTGACAACAGAAAGGCTCCTGTGTGTTTACAGGCAGTGTGTCCCCTGAAGAAATGCTGTCTTGCTAACACAAATATCTAATATATATATTTTTCGTTTTCTGCTTGAATAGTATCTCTGACTTTGTACAAAAACAAATTTGGTTTCAGCTACTTTAAGCTCGTTTCCATTTTGATTTATTATTTTACATGTTATTTACATTATATTGTCTTTTTCTGAATTTGTAATTCAGATTCATACTTTGATTAGATTTATATAAATATGATATATATTTATAATTTTTAACCTTTCGCGATTATGTACAAATGAAACACTAAAACTTTAAAATTCATTCACTTTAAAACCAATTCAAAATTTAAGAAAATGCCAAGCGTTTTTTTTTCTCTTCATCTTAAGTCGTATAAATACATGGATGCTGAAAAAAAATATATAATTTTACTGAGATTAGTTTTTACTTCATATGGAAAAACCGTCAATATAAACTATTTAATGATTTCAATACATATTCGAAATTTCAACCAAATGAGATTTCCTTGCTCATTTTTATATCTGTAAAATACGAAAGGCTGCAAAAAAGAAAATCAGTTTCACAGGTAGTAGTTTGTGCTAGTGTAATTAATGTGGCGCAAAAGGAAAAAAAAAACTTCAATTTACACATAAAATAACGCAAGAACTAATTTGTCTCAATAATATTTTGATATCAGAATGTTCTACATCTCAAGAAAAGTGTAAAATTTCATATTGTTTAACTTAAAATTTTTTTGAGTTATTGGAGTTGGAAGCACACTATGAAAACTTTCATAAACAGCGACTGCAGTAACTTTTTTCTTATAACGAAATGTAGTTTTTAATTAATAAAAGCATTATGGTATGTTAAAATAATAATATTAATAAAAAGGAATGATCAATTCTGATAACGGAATGAAGGCAGTTTCAAAAAGTTAAATTTATCTTTCAGAAATATTTCTGTGACGCATTTTTTGTATTAAAATGTTGAAATGTGCTTTTTGTAAAATTATAACTAAATGTTTTAAGTAACGTTTCTGAAGGAAAGAAAGAAAATCGTTTCTGCAAAATGTATTTATGCGTGTAAGCATTAAAACACTGTGCAATAACGTTTCAAATATTCTTGCCATCAAATTTTAAACAATAGCTCCAAAATTGGAAAAATTCTAGAAACGCACACTTAAGATGTTTATCATTGTAAAAAACATTTCTTCCAATGCTTCATTCATGTCATCACAATATTCCTTTTTCTTCTATTTTGAAGGAAAAAATTACGACATAAATTTAAATGGGATATTTTGAATCGTAAAGGAAACAAATTGTTAATTTTTCTTTTTGTAACTAAATTAGATTGTTTTGAAATATGAGATACACAAATCATAAATTTCACAAATCAAGTATAAATGTACGAAAAAAATATACATGCTTTGTATTTCTATGAAAACAACATTTTGTTTCTCAACAAATTTACTGGGCAATATAATATTTTTTTACTGGCTTTTTGAAAAATCGTTATTTTAAATCAAAACTTAATCATATCCTAGTTTGGTAAAGAAGTAAGCATATTTGTTACTAGTACAGTAATTTTAGAAATATTCATTATTCGTTTTAGTGAAGTAAAATCAAATTAACAGTTATACAATTAGTGAGAATTTGTTTCAGAAAAAAAAATATTAAGGCAAATTGTGGAATATTATACTTTTTAACTTGTCAAGATAACGACGAAACGACTTTTGAACGACTAAAAAGACAATTGTAAAGTTTCAGACATTCAAAAAGTGAGTTATCTCGGAATTATTGTCTCATAATTTTTCTCGGTCATAAGGTCATCTCTCTGAGTTTGAATCACGGTCAGAGTATCTTAACGATTTCGAACAATAAAATTTGTAAAACTGTACAAACGAGAGATGTTATTGTCATATAGGAATACAATGCTAGTGTATGTAGTATAGAAGAAACATGAGAGCTTTGACCCACTTTTCTTGAAAACAAATTTCTATTTTTTTAGCAGAATAAAATTTTAAAGTTAGGATTATTTGGTAATTTACTATGTTTGCTAATATTCTACTATGTTTTTCATTCGTTTATATTATTATTTATTACTTAAACTATAAACTACCCCTTTTACAGTGGGAGAAATAGCAGAGATGTCACAATGTTCCGGCTACTAAACTGCGCAGTGGGGATAACGAAAGATCTGTCAACGTTCGGACTACTAAAGGATTCAATTTCTCAGTTATGGTAATCTGTCGGAGGCCTTCTTTTTTCTAGGTGGTGTTGCTAGTAGGTGGTTTGACTAAATAAGGGAATAAGGACCCTGTGCAGTTGAGTCGATCATCTGGTGCTGCAGCAGATTTTCAGTTGTCTGCGCATGAATTGGGACGATTAACAATTATTTAGTTAGACAAGGCTGGTTTGGGCCGGGATAGCCTGGTTGGTAGGGCACTGGATCCATATTCAAGTGGTCGTGGGTTCGATCCCCACCGCCCGAAGGCTCCTCGTGTAATAAATGGTGATTGATGCACGTTAAAGCTGTCGGGTCACAAAGTACTTCATGTTCGCATAACAAGTCATATCTCTGGGGGTACTGATCAAGGAATTTCCTTGTCTTCTGGATTGGTTCAAAATTACAAGGCTACGGAGTTGAACATCAGTAGTCGTAAACCCAAAATTGGGTCGGCTGTTCAACGATGGTTATGAAATAAAATGTAAGGCTGGTTTAACCCACAGAAATTAAAAAGATAGTGAAACCTATATAGCAGTAAATAACTATTTAAAATAATGTTATTATATTCAATTATTCTTTTTTTTAAGAAGTATCAAAAATGTATTTACTCATGAAGGAAAAAAAAAACGAATCTGAACAGAAAATGTCAAATGAAATTAATTTTAGTTTATATTCGTAAACTGAACAACTGAAGAGAACTCTATTATTCGCTTTTATTTTTTGTTTGTTTTTTGGCTTCTTAATATTTTGTGAAGTATTTTTTTTATGTTGTATGAGTTTCGACTTTCTCTTTGACATACCAGAATCCTTGATTTGGTGCGATGGGTCAAATCTATTAGACATTTAGTAAACACATTAAAATAGAAAATAAATGTTAAGAACAGGTTTATTGGATCGCAGTACATTAATGTATATTTATATCTATATATAAATTTTAATGACCGGTGGAACAAAAGTAAGAAATTTGCTAAAAAGAAATATATATAATTTTTTTAAAAAAATTAAAATATCGCATGCAAATCACATGATTTTACCTTCAGATTTTATGACTGATAGACAAAAGCAACAAATGTTTCTGCTCTATAACATGTTTCAAACTGGGTGATCATTCGCTAACTATATGTTTCAATATGAAAAAGATTGGATGGGCCAAATCTTACACGTTTCTCCTCCTTCACAAATTAATGTTTAATGTTATTATTATTTATTATTTTTAAAATAAACTAACTATTTTGTATCATGCAAAAAAACTTGTGCATTCCAAGGAATAATAAAACAGACAAAAACTACAAAAGGCACACACTCTGTTTGAAAAAAAAATATACGAATATTCTGTATTAGTATTTCTTAAAAGGAAATGCTAAAAAGATGCTGTTAAAAGAGATACATAAAATTCACACAAAAAAACTGTTAACTGGGAACAGGCTTCAAGCGAATAATGTCCAAATGTTGCATTACACACATCTCACCTGCAGCGATCGGAGATGATGCAGAAACAGATTCCTTTGTTTTTGGTAGACTAGATTGTTTATTGTCTGGTACATCGACAAGAAGACTGTTCAGTAACTCCTCTAATCCATCGATAGTTTTATCAACGCTATCGTTAGTGCCAGGCGTAAACATAAAAGACTTGGCGACATCGCATTTTGGCGACGCATATGGCGAGTTAACAGCAGAACTCAATCGCGAATATTTGCTAGTTTCGGGATATGAGTCAGCAGGCGTAGAATCCATGGATACCCTAATATGGCGTATTTCTTCGTGTCTTGAGCAAAACGGTTTGGCCGATTCGTTTGTTTTAATCAATTGGCTGGTAAAGTAAGGAGTTTCGGACATTTTAGAATCATTTTTCCAAGGATCTATTTTGACAGATTTGTAACTGTTTAATGGCGAATTATTCGCAGACTTAGGGTTGACTAGTTGAGAGCGGCACTCGGACAGATTGTCAGTTGCTGATTTGCTAGTAGGAGAGTTCATTAGGTTGGATATATTTTCAGAGAGTTTTTGAGCAGCCATTTTTTTCCGGTGAGAGTTATCTTGCTGCAGATGCAAATTTTCATAGAACTCTTTTTTGAGCCTTATTGAAGAGGTATAATTGTCGGATGATTTGTTATCTAATTTATTAAATCGCTGGCAATTTACAGATTGAGGATACTTGCTATCACATGACCTCAGTTTTTCTTCAAGAGAGCTCAGTTGAGGCATTAAATCTTTAAATAGTTCGTTAATAGAGTTATCTTTGAGTTCTTCAATATCTTTTGGCTTAGTTGTATTTGAGGAATTGTGTTCTTTTAAAAATAGGTTTGAGTTTATATCTTTTCCGCAAGGATCATCAAAATACGTATTGCTTTCATGAATAGATAGTCGTCTTGAGGGCACATCTTTATTTTTGGGAAGGTTTGTAGATTTTTTAGTGAATAATTTAGAATCTTCTTCACTAAGGGATATATTGGATAGACTATTTCTTTCTGATAAATTATCACTGCTTAATTTCAAACTCAGATAGACATTTTCTAATTCAGCCATCGCACTGTCTAGGTTCGCTGTAGCTGACGAGCTTTTAGAAAGGGAATTTAATTCATCATTAGAATGCTTAGAGTTAAAGGATAGTTTGTCATTAGCATGATCATCATTTGGGTAGGAAGATTTAGTCTTGGTTGAGTTCATCACATTTCTTTCAGCAGAAGGTTTACTCTTATCAGCAATTTTTAGATTATTTTCTAAATCTTGGAGCTGCAAAGCCAGATCTTCATCTATGTTATCTTTTTCTTTTCGCTTTGAATTATATTCTATTTTACATCTAGATGCTAAATAGGGCATGCTTTTATTATCAGAGAGCATTTTTCTTCTTTCTTGTGAGCCATTCAATAGTATTTTACTTTCTAAATTCTTAAAATCGTCCTGATTATTAACATTATCAGAATTTCTTCCATTATTTAGTAAACCATGATGTTTGAATTTGCAAATGGGTTTACTTCCAGGCGATAAGTAACAAATACACGCATCTTCTTTACCAAAAGGAACTTTCCATTTAGCCCAAGACATAGAACTAGAACTTTTTTTGTTTTCGAGACTATTGAACATAAACTCGCGCCTTCTTTCATTTTCTTCAAACTTGTTTATCAAAGATGAATTTTCATTCCTCAGTGGGATCAAAGGAGAAATATCAGGATTCGAAGAACAACTTTTGTTCTCAATATTTTTGATTTGACTTAAGGAACACGAATGGTTACTATTTGTGGTTAAATTTGAGCTACCAGCCGTTCCGAGAACGGAGCAAAGATCATTCAGCACTTTTTCATCTACAAAATCAAAATTGCTACAAGTTTTTCGTCGCGCGTTAAATAGTTCTCTTGCTTCAGCAGAGTTGTTCTGAGATTGGAAGGAATTCTTAGGATTTCGAATTTTCACCTCCAGTTTAGGACTTTTATCAGACGTTTTGGTTTGAGCAAAAGAAAGATTATTTTGTTGGAACATATTCTTTTTATCAAAATCATTTTCCGTGTGTGACTGTGTTGTGGTATGGTGCTGAAGGAAGGATTTGTTCATGATTGAGATGCTCTTTGGCGATCTGGGAGGCGGGGTGGGAGCTTCTCTTGACCTTTGAGTTGGCGATGCACGTTGGCTAAACTCAGAGCTCCCTAGTCTGGAGTCTGAAATGATACTGGATATTAGAGATTTCTTCTCACATAGATTTACATGTTCGATGGATGTTGATTTTTCTTGCGAGAGAGAGCTGAACTGAGCTAATTTTATTTTATCAAAGAAGTCGGATCCACTTTTCCGTTTCTGTTCTTCCTCTTCAATATGTCTAATTCGCTGCTGTACAAATCTTGTTACATTTTCTTTGGATGGAAAATCACTGAAATAATATTTCTTTGACGCGTCAGGAACATTAGGGGATGGACAGTAGTCTGTTTTAACCTCCAAATTATTAATTTCATTGTTCAAACGATTGAGTTTTTCGAGGTGTAGTTTGATACCATCATCTTCAGGATTCAAACACAAACTTAAATTGTTTTTTCGATCGGCTTTTTTAATAGCCCACTCACCATGAGATCTCCGTCTCAACCTCTTTTCGTTTCGATACGATCTAGTTTTGACATCCCGAACGGTTCTGTGAATACCGCCGTCACTATTGTATCTGGTCAAGTTTGTTCTAGTTTCGTCTTCTGAGGAACTATTACCATATTTTTCACGTTCTGCTTCTACTCGTGCTTTTATAGCGACCAGCCTTTCTTTTCTCGTAAGGCTATCATTGGAACTACGAGATGACCTTTCCATACTGTCACTACTGCCAATATTAAGACGTAGCGTATCCACCGGACTACGATGTCCCTTGGAATGTTCATTCACCTTGAATGAACCCCCGTTGGTGATAGTGCGAGTCAAAACACCGTAGTCGGCATTCAATTTTGATTCTGTGTTCGCCTTCTTTACATTAGACTGCGCACTCGTTTTAGTTGTCTTGAGCTCGTTTAACTTCGTGTCGTTTTCGTTTGTTTTTGCCTCTTGTTTAGAAACCTCTTTCTTAGGTTTGGACGAAGGTTTTGGTTTCTGGTACTCTAGCGAAGAACATGAAGTGTCTGAACTTAAATCCGTTTCTCTGCACTTAGATCCTGTTGAGATGGGGAGGCAAAAGATATTCTGCCTGGATGTTTTCTCTTTTGTGAAGATCTTGCTTTTGCGACGAACTCTCTCCTTCTGCTCGAGGGCAGCGAAGATAAGTCTATGATCGATTCCTTCTCCTCCTGCTCTCGCGTAAGATGGAAGACTCAAGCTCTTTTGAACAGGAACAACGTTGCATTTCCGCTGAGGACCGCTCAGGGTGGCTGCCTCCATCACCATGCCAGAGGCATCGTATTTGACTGCCAAACTGAAAATAAAGGGAGAGAAAATTATAAGTATTTTAATACATATATAATAGCAAAATAATGTTATGGAAATGGAGAAAAAAAAGAGCACATTTAGTCCTTAGACTGCGCCTCTTCTGGTCTGTGTTAACTAGGGGCCGTTTGCATATTACGTAAGCATGTTTATGGCAACCCTGACCCACCCCTTGTCAGGAAAAAACAACCAAATCACAAAACTTTCTCCCACGTTTATGTAAGAAAGTCACAACACCTTAACTATGAATTTTGCTTTAACTTTGATTTTTGTCGTAATCTAATTTTAAGAATTTTAGGATAAAATTCAAATTGAAGATGCAACTATTCATAAAACAAAATTTAATTACATAACATTTTAAAACTCCATGAAGAAATTTTTTTTGATTTTATTTTTTTCTCAAATTTAACTTTTATTTCATATTTAAAATTTTTCCAAGAGTAATTTTAAAAAAAATTGCTACATTTTCCTTATATTTTTTTAAAAAAAAATGAAAATATGAGGATAAAAGGTTTTACGTAAGCATTGTTAAAACCCATTTCCCCTCTTGTCATTAAAAATAAGCACAACCAAAACCATTTCCCTCTTTAGTGCTTACGTAATATTTGAACTGTGCCCAATGGAAATCTATGCATTATATGAATTCTAATTCCCTATTTCTTAAATAGCTATAGTTTATATTCATGAAACTCGGTAATCAAATCTTAATTCTTAAAGTTTGCGCAATTGTACAATATTTGCATGGTTTGATAATTAAATTTTGATACTAAAGTTTCAATAAAATATATTTCGGTGAATAAAATGAAACCAAAAATATTCCAAAATTTTAATTAGTTATTCAATAATTAGGAATTGGCTTTCAATTCTCCTTCGTTTCAATTTTAAGAAGAAGGCAAAAGATACAATCTGACTTTAAAGACACCATTAATTTCAAACTGTTACTTAAACGCTTTAAAAATAAGTAAATAAAATAACAATAAATAAAAACTTATTTTTGTAAGATAGACGGAAAGATTTTCGAAGCCTTAATTAATTAAAGTCGATAATAAACATAGCAAAATTGAGAGTAACTGTTTGAACAGCTTTAGAAGAACTTTCCATATTATAAACACTATTATTTATAATACTTACTTACTTTCCCATTTTTAAACTGTCGTGCTGCACATTTGCAAAGGATTTTAAACAGTCTGAGAATTAATCAACTCACTAACAAATATTTTATTAAAAAAAGAAAAGTACTTTAAATCAGTGCAAAATATTGAATCCAAGTTTAATAATTTAATTATCCATCAATAAAACAGTTTCCGCTTCGTTATTTAAAGGAAACAATTTATTTGCAAAATAAACATTTCGTGATATGGCATTGTTTAATCTGATATCATTATTGATTACTTGAGTTATAAAATTGATATTGAAAGTAAATAAAGATTAATCCTTGATTACGCTTTCAAGGAGAAATTTGGGATAAATGAAACTTTTGTTTCAAAATAAATCATTAGTTAAATAACAAAATAGTAATACTTTTTAGAGCGCGTGCTCTGATTTAAATTAATTGCAGTTAAACCTCATTAACCTTGACAATTTTATGTAGAGTTGTCTAACAAATTGATAGCAAAAATATGAATAAAATTAGACTGAATTTACACTTTTAACTCGTTTTTACTTCTCTTCTCTCCATTTTTTCTCGATAAAAGCTCTTATATCCTGATGTTTATGTATAAGAAAATCCGTTTTTAAAGAAAAATAATGTAAATTGGCATTGTAATTTAGCGCAGCTCACAGTCTATTGCAACAGAATAATTTCTAATTTGAAAAGCATTTTGATTTTCTTTGTTCCCTTCACGTGAAAATTATATTTCAAAATGAGAAAAAAAATTATGTTTTGATTCGCTTTTTTTTCATTTAGGAAAAAAAATCAAAGTGAAAAAGAAGACATTTTATACGTGTATTGCTTCATTCAAAATAATTATTTTAAAGGGAAAAAAAGAGCACATTTTTTAGGTTTTTATGGAAACTAAACGAAAAAGACATACTCGAGATCAACATGTCAAATATTACATCCCGTTCTTACATCACTTTCTTCAACTCATAAATTAAAGTAATAGTAATAAATAAATAAAAATACAAATTAAAAAAAATTTCAAAATTTTTGATGCACCCAAATATATAACCGTACATGATTCTGAAATAAAATTCAATAGTTTTAGTCCTTAATAAATGTTGTAAATGTTTTTAGAAAAATGTTATTTATAATATAGTACACCAAACAATCTTGGACTTAAGACTTGAACAGAAAAAAAGTTTGCTCTTCAGGTTAGCAAGTAATAGTTTTTCTCTTGTTATTGAATAGGAGAATGGTGTTTTTCTTTTGTTATTGAATGGTGTTTTTCTCTTGTTATTGAACAAGCGAATTGCATAAAAGATAGGGAATCGGCTTGTCGAGAAATAACACTTTCACAAATTTGTGCATTTACTAGAGATGAGATGAGCCCGGGTCCATCGCGGACTCGNAAAAAAAAAAAAAAAAAAAAAAAAAAAAAAACGGAATCGTGACAAAATTTAAACAAACGTTTAGATCCGTAATTAAGTATAAAAAAAGTAAACTTTTAAGGTATAAAAATTTAGACGATCTGCTTTTATCTTCTTCTTTTGTTCGGTGCTTTTGCTTTGTTCTCAACCAGCAACATGGCAAACAGGCTAGCAGAGCAAGATTCTAGCAAAACAAGAGGCTAGCATTAATGGTCAAATAAGATTTATTTAGCTCAAAATTTTGATTTTCCTTTTTAATTTTTTGTTTTATTCATATCGGAGTTTAAGTTGGTTCAGATATTCTCTTCGCTTTTTCCTTCACAGTTTGGCGATAGAAAAGTTTTAACTCATTTCCTTGTTCAAACATCAAAAGCCGAGATCGCAAAATTTGCCCTTTGTCCAACGTATATCTCGGGTACGGGTGGACTCGAATTAAAATTCTTCGGACTTCCAAAAGCGAGCCCAAGCTCACCTCTAGCATTCATCAATTAGTGCCCAGGTANAAAAAAAAAAAAAAAAAAAAAAAAAAAAAAAAAAAAAAAAAAAATCTACAAAACAGAAATATTAGATAAAGCCATGAAGCCTCAGTGACATTTTTCCTCAGCATAGTTACTCACACTGACCTAGAATAATGAAAAGCGTCAAAGCGCATATAAATAAGTTTCTATCTACAAATAAATTCCATTCCGTAACCTCTGACCCCCCGCATCAATGGAGCGTTATGCCACATCTGACTGCTCAGGAAGTTGATAGGAGGGAGAAAAAAAAAACTCTTTTTTTTTCATTCGGGAATTATTTTGCGACATCCCCTTGTCGTATCGTGTCATTCTAGGGATGTTCGAAACGCAGCTGCGAGCTCTCATCGTATCATATAGCTTTCAGGCAAAGGAGATCTGGACAGTATCTCGAGTATCGGAGAGTTTTATGAGAGAATTAACTTTGCGGGAGGCCCCTGCGCAAACAACATTCAACACTTCCGGAATGATTTGTTACTTTGCTATGATGTTATCAAAATACATGACCATAAACGTTGAATGAAATACGTTTATTGGATTATAGGTTAACGGGAAGGCAATTTACATTTAAAGAAAAGAATAAAAGAGTATTGTTCGATGTTCAATTATCATTTTCTACACTTATAACCCTTTGACGCAAAATCTTTATTAAACGCATTGTTGTTACTCTTTTTCATTATTTTATACTAATTTAGGTCAAAATAAGTGGAAAATATTTTATTTTATTTTATAACCGTCGTTGAACAACTGACCCAATATTTAGGTTTACGACTACTAATGTTCAACTCCATAGTCTTGTAATTTTAAACCCAATCCAGAAGACAAGGGAACTCCTGGATCGAGTATTGGGAGAAATTTGCCTTCTAGAAGGACTTTTTTTGATGGAACTAACCAGCATTTGCGTTACATGGAGAGGAAAACCTCCCACGATTAGTCTAACGGCAAAGGGACTCTAACCCGTGATCCGTCTACCAGTGAGGATATTCTACGTCAGCACTGTGGTAGATGAAAGCCAAATGCGGAATTCGTTTCGACCAACCATTGCTGGGATTCGAACTCGGTTCATCTCATTGGGGGGCCTCCCTGGCTGAGTGGTATCGCTGGTCCAAACGCTCTGTTAAGCGTGGAGGTAGCGGGTTCGAATCCCGCCGTAACTCTGGATGTGATGTCTTTCTCTGAATTGTTCTATCTGTATTTTCTACTTGACAATGACTTATAAGCCTATATTGAGCACACAAGTCAGCAAATGTATATAATTTCAATAAATAAAAAACATCTCATTGGAAGGCGAACGCTCTACTCCCTGAGCCATCACGGCTCAAGTGGAAAATATTGAACGAAACCAGAATATGGTAAAATTTACCGGGTTTATGGCTCTATGGGAACACCAAAAAGCTCGGTCATTTTTACCGAAACGCCTTGGTAATGATTTTGGTAAAATTAACAATGAAATATGGTCTGATATAATATGTGATAAACTTTGGTGAAAGCGTGGTAAAATCTAGTAATTTTATCACGATACCTTCGAGAATGGCACAATTTCATTTTATTTTCTTATAAATGAAGAACTATAGTTTCGAAAATCAGAATTTTTGGAAAACCTTTACCAAACCAACAGAATCATGACTAAATGATTAGTTTATATGTTTTATGTTTCGGTTTCATTAACCAGAAGTATGGTTTCCTTTTTACAAGAAATGTCATTCCCATACAGTATGGTAATTTTACTAGAATTATTTTTCTCCGTGCGAGATTAATTTAAAAATAAAAGTTAGAGGTGGATTAATTAAGAAACAAAAAATATATATATTTAAGAAGTGTATGCAATTGTTAATTGAGCTTGAAAATAAATTTAGAAAAGTATTACTTATTTTTTATTTGTATCCTTAAATAAACTACAATAAATCTGGTAGGATTGCAGAGCTTATTGCAATTTGTACATCTT